AATCATACTGATTAAAGATTAATCTCGAGATTCACATTTGATCAATTAAAAGTTTTTATTTGTTGGAGCAATTAAGCATGCACTGGAAGTTTTTAAATATATAATTGGTGAGCTTGAGTTCTCCCAGGCATTTCAAAAGCCGTCAAATGATTACCATATGTCCTTACTCTTCCTTCTGAACATTTGAGCACTAACTCTGCACATAAAAGATGATAGCCTAGCAAAGAACTTCCTTCATACAGGTTCATAATATTCAAGCTTTATTCTCACATTTAACAATTCTGAGGACACTGAAATATCTCATGATATGGCTGTTTTGCGGCAATCATTTGGCCTTGGACTTGGAGGAATGAACACATGAAGTGATTTGTCATATCACAGTAGAAAACGTAAAAGGTCCGTTCAGTGCCTTTCATGTTTTGGTCATGATGGATCAGCCACCAGTGTTAGCATTTCTCATTCTCATCATAAGTGGAAAAGAAACAATTTCCTCAATCTTTAGATCCAAAGCACTTTATGGTATAAAACTTTTATTATGCAATGTAGATTCAACTTGGTCCTCACAATAGAACACTTTTGTTTTTCTATCATTCTTAAGTTTGATTATGCTTAATACTGTAAATTGGCTATTGCAAGATTATTCAAATTTGTCCTACTTTTGAGATGAACCATCATATAGGAAAGGTGTACTTAAAATCCATTGTTCTATTTGGTGGTTGGTTTATATTTTATTTATTTATTTGTATCCTGACTATTATTTTTATAAACAACTCATCTTCCTCCTCCTATGAGGTGTGTTGGACTGAGTGTGTGTGACTGGCCCAAAATCACCCAAGTGGAATTTATGGTCTCCTGATTTCTAGCCTGTTGCCTTCACCACTATACCAATCAGAGGTTATACTCTATCAATGTCCACATATGGCACAAGATGGTATTGAAATTTTACTAACAAGAGGTTAGAATAAGAATTCACTAAATATTGATAGACAAATATTAGTCAGAATAGTATTATATTGTATTTTTCAAGGATGATTTTAAGAGTTCTTCTAGAAGAGATTACTTCTAAATTAACATAGACTATTAAAGAAGAACCAGTGTTGTATTGACCTTCAAATTAATGGCATTGAATCACATTTTTTAAGTTTGGTTGCTTCTTTGAACCAAGAATTTATACAATATGTACATTTGCAAAATGTTATAAATGAGACCAAAATTTTGTTTTATCCATGCTTTTCTTTTGCATACCCTAGAGTCTGTCATATTAAAAACAAAATCTATCTTGAGGCATCTTAATAGTGGGTTTGGTAAATTAAACAATTATTTCACAGAACAAATCTGACATTTTGAAAATACACTGTATGTTGTATAAATTCTTGGTTCAAAGAAGCAACCAAACTTAAAAAAT